GAGAGAGAGAGAGAGAGAGAGAGAGAGAGAGAGTTAACTTATGTAACATGATTATTTTTTAATAGGCGTTAAAATATATGCCAAACTACGCCAAAGCTGTGAAGATTTATCCGTTTTTCTCTATAATACATGGCATGGATTTACGTCAATCATTGAGGCAGAAAAAATATGAAAATATCAAAGCATTACGCGATGGATTCAAAAATTTATAATTAATATACCCTATAATATTTATTAGGTTGATGAATAAAATTATAATAAAATCTTAATTATAGAAATTGATTTTGTAACAATGTTATAATACTATTCTATTGCAATACCGATACTAGCGTTCAATCTTTAATTTGTAGATTTAAATATAAATTAAATGATATAAAATTTAAGAATAAAATAAAATTTCTATAAATTTTAAATTCTAATATATCCTATATATTAACGTCTTGATTGTATCCATGGGATATTTCGATCCCAGTGAGTTTAAAACTTATGGCTAAAATCAGGTATTAAAGTCAGTGCTAAAAAATTCTAGCTATTCCTCAGCCAAACATTTGAGTAGGTTTTGGATTAATCAAAACTTTATTTGCATATCTGGTGTCCGAGCAGTGAATTTTCAAAGAGAGGTCACTTTTCAAAAACGCCCACGATATCAAACAGTTAACTTTTTAAACCCTTAACATTTCAGTGCATTTACAAAACCATAACAAAAACACTAGCGCCGCCACATATTGATTACCCATTTCTCACACTATTTCACGACTTCCCTGTATGGACTTGTGGACAACTCATTTCAGCTGTTGCGAGATTCAATACATAGATAGCGCGCGCATCGACACTTACATCAATTGTATACATCACAAAAAATATCCCAACTTGTAACACAGTATTCAATGCTATTGCTTAGTGCTATGAGTGGAGTGTTTGTGTGTCTGATTGTGACATGCGCTGTATTGTGTGTTTTGCTGTTTGTATTGATTATACTGACAATAAACTATGTAGTATTTATTATTGACCCCATATTTCTATTTAAATAGAAATATGGGGTTATAGCTAAACGTAATTTCAATATACATTTCTATCAATTAAAGTGAGAGCACATGTAAACAACAATTTAATAATAGTGTCCTTTTTATTGTGATTTAAAATGAGCCGCAAAACTGTGTTAAGTCGACAACAACTCGAAGATATGCTGAATGTCGACAGCGCTGATGACAATACAAGCAATGAAGAGATCGATAAAATATAAGAGTCGTCACATTCATCAAACACTGAGCAAAGCGCTGAAGAGCTAAGTGATGATAATGACAATGACTTTCAAACATCTGATATCATGTCATCTCAAACATCAATTATCACATCGAGTAAAACCAAACCGTAAAACATTTTGTGGACCAAAAATAAGTAAAGAACGCGCTGATAATAACTACACTATTCGCCGTTTGATTCGTTTTCAATGATTTCCTGTATTTAATTAGAGATAAATCGAATATTTTTCATAAGAAATAAAATGTATTTTAAATGATTAAAAACTTGTATAACTTCTTAAACGATTTGAATAAAACGTTTACTTAATAATAACATATCTTTATTAGACTCAAGAAGTAATACAAATAAATACAATTTGGATTACGAATAATAAGATTCAAAAATTGTGTGGATTTGAAGACAAAGTCTATGTAATTGAGTGCAAATATATTTTAAAAATTCACCACATTTGACATTCATTGATATTTCAAAGCAATGATAAACACAATTGCATACAATTTAAGCATAATTTCTATTCAATTTTATCATTCAATGCAATGCTTTAAGTCTACAAAATGTACGGTAAACATTGGCCGCCGCCGGTGTCAGTAAATGACGTTTAAATATAGCCCCTTATTCCTATTTAAATAGGAATATGGGGATTAAAATATATACTACATAATTTATAAACGACATTTTTGCATTCAAAGTAAACAGCAAAACACAATACAGCGCATGTCATCAACACTACACTCCACTCATAGCACTAAACCATAGCATAGAATACTGTGTTAAAAGTTGGGATATTTATTGTGATGTATACTAAAGATGTAACTTTTAGTCATATCATAGCTTTCTCGCTTATGCTGCCATCTCACTCATGTAAATTAAATGTATTAAATTACTGGTCGATTTTCTTCACCACCATATAAAAGACTTCAGCAATTTAACCATATAATCAGACGGTTAATTAAATTAATTCTGTGGAAAATCCACTAACAATTAAAAGTAATGCATTCAACAATTGTTTGCAATTAAATTGATTTATTTTTAGTGCAAACTGTAAAACAAGTGATAAAAGTTATACTTATTGGCTATGAATGGCTTTAATGCGAGCGATGAGAGTATTGTTAACACAAACTGTTATTTCATTTGAATTGTGTTTAGCGTTGAAACCATTGAACCATTGCTTCGATTCTTTCAGTCCTTTTGTGTCCAGAATTTGATGTAAACATTGATTGCATTTTGAGATCAATTCACTAAACATAAAGACATTAATCCATCGCTTCTTTGAATCCAATCTTTCATTCATTTAAAGTTTTTATTAAAATATAAATGAATTTTATGAAAGGATTTAGCGATAAAAGTAAGTTTTGATTGTCTTTTGCTTTTTGTCGACTCTTTTAACCACTTTTTGTGTCTTTCTTTAGTCCCAAAACGTTTTGATAAGAAGAGTGAACCAAATGGTGACGACTGTGAAGACCACTCTCTGACTGTCGACAATGGGATCAATGATTTGGTCAATGAGTTTGAAGATTGTGTCGATTTGAGAGACAATGACATCGAAGTGAACGCCAATGGACTCAATGAAAGCGTTGACGACAGCAGTGACTCTTCAGATGACAACCACTTCTTTATGGCTAATCAGAGGTAAGGATAGGAAAGGAGACAATGAGTTGACGGCCAAGAGATTAACGGGTTTTGATCGACCGCTAGAATGGGTGAAGAGTTTGTGAGCAAACGTGAGGCTAAACAAAGCACTGATTGGTATGAATTGCAAACAATGGAAACGCAATCCAAGTGTTCATCGAGTGGTCAGACAGTTATGGTCTCAAAGCCGGCGCCGAATAAGACTTCGCTTACGATTACGACAACAAACACAATGTCTCGGAGTCTGACTATCACTGCGATAACAGCGGCAACACTAACGCCATCAGTGGTGTCAACACCATCGCCGCCACCCCTCACACATTTCATGAAAGGCACATGTCTGAGCACAGACACCACAGGACCCATCACTGCGAGACCAAAGCCAAGCCCGACACCTATGGAGGACCAACCAATGGATTGGGAGGTAGGAAAGTGCGTGAGTGAGGGAGTGAGTGAGAACAGCGCGCGAGCGGTAGGCGTGAATGCGAACAGCGAGCGGACGGCAGGCGTTACGGCGAACAGCGCGCAAGCGGTTAGCGTAAATGCGAACAGCGCGCAGATTGCGGGCGTGAGTGCGAACAACGCGCGAGCGGTAGGCATGAGTGCGAACGGCGAGCTTACAGAAAGCGTTCGCAAAAATAGTGAACGTTGTGCAGCCGACTACGGTCGAGCGCCAGAATGTGCAGCCGACTACGGTCGAGCGCCAGAGTGTGCAGCCGACTACGGTCGAGCGCCAGAGTGTGCAGCCGACTACGGTCGTGCGCCAGAATGTGCTGCCGACTTCGTTCGTGCGCCAGAATGTGCTGCCGACTTCAGACAACTAACCTACATATGGAGTGCGCCATCAGGGAATTATTGTTCGGTTTCGAATAATGACCCACATTTATGGTCACCAAGATGTGCGCCAGATTGTGCTGCAGCTAACACAGGATTCACATCTCGACCACTTTTTCCAGGACGAATACTCCGGTATGGACCTCCCAGCGGATCGGCTTTTTGTGTTCAAACGAATATAGCAATAGATTGCAATGCATCCGTATCACATGTTAATGAATTAAATAGCGTCAACGGAGAGAACATGGAAATCGATAACGGAATCACGATTATTGCTAATGACTCAATGGAGGAGTCCATGGACACCTCGACAGAGAAAGAATTGTGGGTACATAATTATAACGAAGAAAGAAAACGAAAACGAAAAGAAAAGATCGTGAAAGGCAGAGAAAGAAAAGATCTAATGAAACAAACATTGAAAGAGAGCAAAGATTGCTTAAGGATAGAGAAAGACGATCAAATAGAACACAAAATGAAACTGATGAATTACGACAAATTAACAGAGATTCTATTCAGATAAATCGAACAAACGAAACAGCAAAATAAAGAGATCAAAGACTAACACAAGATAGACAAAGAAAAACAAATGCAAAACGATCTCTTGGTCCTTTGTATAACATTGCAAAAACAGAAGCGCTCGCAGAGAGATTCAGTATTGGGCCAATGGACCAAAAGTGCCCACATTGTTTTGCAAAGTTCTGGATGTGTGAGAAAACATCGGGAACTAAAGCAAAACCACTCTACAGTAAATGTTGTAATAACGGAAAAGTTAAACTCAAAGCACTTCTTTCACTCCCGAAAGAATTGTTGGATTTATTTCAAAATCCTGAAACCAAAACTCATTACAATCAGTTCATAAGAGGCTATAACTCAAATTTAGCAATGGTTTCTGTTGGAGCCCTTAACGACAAAGTGTTGGACGACAAAAGTCGGGGCCCTTTCACTTACAAAATTCAAGGAGCAATGAATCACAAGATTGGATCGTTATTGCCAATTGATGGGCAAAGGCCCAAATTCGCTCAATTGTATTTCTATGACACGCAAAGTGAAATTGCAAACAGATTGAGTGTAACTGATGGCTTGAAATCTGATATATTACAAAAGCTTTTAAATATGCTTAAGAGAATTAATCCATTTATTAAGAACATTCAAACAGCATTTGATGCACACGATGGTAACCCTCCGGTGAATTTGACAATAAAAATTAGGGGCGACACTTCAAGAATACGTGATAAAACGTATTGTGCACCGACAAGCGATGACATCGCTGCAATATATCCGAATGGAAATGAAGATTATTTCAGAGACATTATAATCCCATTTCGAGATGGTCGAAACAGATTTGTTAGTATAAACGAAACTAACAGACATTGCGATTCACTCAGTTATCCCTTAATGTTTCCGACCGGCGAATTTGGATGGGATTTAACATTAAAGAAAACTGATGGGAAAAATATGACCCTAATGGATTTCTACGCCCATCGATTGCATTACAGAGAAGAATGTAAAAATCTATTTTTATTTGGACGACTGTATCAACAATACATTGTTGATGCATGGGTTAAAATCGAGTCAAATCGACTTAGATATATAAAAAACAATCAAAAAGATATGAGAGCGGAATCATACAAAGGATTTCATGATTCGATGAATGACGGCAATGATTTGCAAAATGTTGGGACAAAAGTAATTCTTCCGAGCGGTCACATCAATTCTCCCCGTTGGCAAATGAAACAATTTCAGGACGCAATGGCAATGGTCCAAAAATATGGAAAACCTCATATTTTTCTCACTTTTACATGTAATCCAAAACATCCCGACATTATAAATGCTTTAAACGAATTGTCACAACAAACACCCAATAATCGAGCCGACGTAGTTGTGAGAGTATTCAGACAACACAATGAAAAGTTGCGAAAATTAATAACTGAGAAGCATATTTTCGGAAAAGTTATCGCATACGTGACTGTCATTGAAAGTCAGAAAAGAGGAAATCTCCATTCGCACACACTGTATTGGCTGAGCGAAACCGATCGGCCCAGAAATTCCGATGATTACAACAAAATTGTTTGTGCAGAAATACCTGAAAAAATTGAACAAAATCAATTGACTATGAATCTGTTTAATACAGTAACCACAAACATGATTCACAAGTGCACAACTGAGCGTTGCCTTAAAAATGGCAAATGTTCCAAAGGTTTTCCAAAACCGATCGTCGAAAGAACACACGACGACAACAACGGTTACCCAAAATACCGACGACGAAACGGCGGTGTAACTGTTAATGGTAAAGAAATTACCAATCAATACGTTGTGCCTTACAATCCGTATCTTTCATCAATGTTTGACGCTCACATAAATGTTGAAATCTGTTCGTCGATAACTGCAATTAAATACTTATTTAAGTATATATACAAAGGATCTGACAAAGCAGATATTGTTATTACAAATGTTGAATTGGAACAAAATTTACGGAAAGAAACAACTAATGAAATTGAGTTGTACGTAAATTGTAGGTTTGTATCACCACCAGAAGCAATGTGGAGAATTCTTGGTCATTCCGTTCAAAAGATGTCTCATTCTGTGCAACATTTAGATGTGCATTTAGAAGGTTACCAAAATGTTGTTTTTAATCCAAACAATCAAAACATTAATGAAAACTTTGGTAAAACCACATTAACTAAATGGATGAAATTCAATAGAAAATATAAAGGAAATGATATTCCAGATCCGAGAACATATATTTTTCATTGACGGGCCAGGAGGTACTGGAAAAACATTCCTTTATAATGCACTCATTAAGAAAGTGCAATCAGAAGGGAAAATTGTACTCCCTGTTGGTTCGTAAGGAATCGCAGCAACGCTGCTTCCCAACGGAAGAACTGCGCATTCCAGATTTAAAATTCCATTTGATTTAAACGAGAACTCGATGTGCAAAATTCCTGTTCAATCAGATTTGGCAAAACTTATTCAA